TGTCATTTTGTACGCACGTTGAAAAAGTAAAAGCGAAACTAGGAAGGCATTGTGGAGTTATTGCTCAAATGAGAAAATTTGTACCGATAGATGTGCTAATAAAATATTATTGTTACAACATCAAACCCATCATACAATATGGATTACTTGTATATGGGGGAACGAGCTTCTCGAATCTCAATCCAATTTTCCTTTTGCAGAAAAAAATAATTCGAATGATTTACAAGGTAAGGAAATTTGATAATATTAGGGAAAGGTTTAGAGAACACAAAATCTTAACAGTTCATGAGCTGTATGTGTACGATCTTCTCAAATTTTGCTTAAGATCAATAAACAAGTTGAATTCAACCGCATTTCTTAACGATTTTTTCACTCTGAAAACAAAATCGGCTTATTTTACCAGAAAATCTATAGGTATTCAATTTGAAGCTCCTTGCTGTAAGACAAAAACGAAAAGACAATCGATATGATTAAGAGGATGCAAACTGTTGAAGATGTTTAGTGATAATAACTTGCTCCCGGAAAATGTTTTAAACTTAAAAAAAGGGGAGCTAAATAATTTGGCACATATGCTAAGAGATACGTTTATACATGAAAATTACGAACTTGTTAGGTATATTTTTGCTTTATGATTATAAATATGACTGTGTTCAGGTGCGGGGTGAAGCGACTCGAACTGTATTCTTTCAGAAGACCAGGCGTTGTCTCCGGGCAACATAGTTTAATACTATTCAAGTCTGAGTATGGGTATACAGTTTCGGGTTGTTTTGCTTTGCACCTAAAGGACATAGTCATATTTCAAGAAATTGTGAAAAATGGTCAAAAAGAGGGCGTTACTCTGCCCAAATTTCTAGAGAATTTAAGGGCTTTTTTTTCACGAGGTGGATGAGGCGTTAATTAACTTCTAAAAAACTTATAATTTTTTCTTTTTGCTAATTGGTTTCATAAATATTATATTTATCACTTATTCATGACTCATTGATGTGCTTTTCTTTTGTGTAATCTATGGGGTACGCTCCTAGTGGGTTTGAAGAAAACCCTTTGCGTATCCTCACTTAACAATCTTGGGTAAACTGTTGATTCATTTATTATGTGATAAAAAATATACTTTTTGTTTAATGTAATAGTGTATCTGATTGTTGAGTGAAATTAATTCTTCTTCTTCTTCTTCACTTTGATATAATTATGTCTGTGATCGACTGGGTATTTTCGGCGTAATTTTTGATTAACTAAGAAAAGCCAAAATGATCCATTTTTGGGGTAAAATTTCGGTGCCGAATTTCGCAACACAATATAAACCATATTAATTTTTCTAAAATTTTAAGCAAGTTTTGTCTTTATAAGTTTTCACCTAAACTCAACCCAATTTGAGAAAAATGCGTTTTAAATTTCAAGTTTAACGCGTTTTGTCCGGTTAATTTAAATCAGCACTGTAGTCAACGCTTCCTACCGCGTGACCTAGAAACCGCCCAGTGCATTCTCATACAGAGGTTTGAATAATAAGGCACCAGAGCAAAACCGCATTCAGAATTTCACAGATAATGTGCACCATGTAAAAAACTCCCCATCCATAAATCAATGAAGATCTTGGAAAATTGATAACTATGGTTCGCAATGTGAAAAAAAGACGTATTTACACATTTGCATAGGTTGTTTTGGAACGTTCACTTCAGTGAATATATACTACAGTTCAGCATTTGGCATTTTAATATATCAATATAGGGAATTCTTAAACCTGTATCAAGTGAAACGACAATTAAATAATTTATAGATAGACAGATTGACTTTTTCATTTTTTATCGAAGTTGGATATAATACTTGTCGAAGTTCATTAGAAAAGTTGTGCCGACCCTTTCACCATCCAAATCTTTTTAGTACTAACACTTCCTCCACCTAAAACATCCACTTTTTATATTGATTATTAACATCCATTCGTGGTCCACAGAAGTTTTCCTAAAATGTGCGGCACAGAAATTTCTCTCGAAATAGTTCTTTTACACAGCGGAAAAGTTGCAAATTCGAAAACAAGCGAAAAAACGGTACAAAGTAGCTCTAAAAAATCAAAACATGAACAAGCAAAAAAAGCTTAAACTAAAAAAACTGCTGTCCCTGAATCGAACCCCCGACCTGAAGACCAAGTGTCACGCGTTCTAGAATGCAGAAAAAGTGAGCCAACTATAATGTTGTTGCTGCAAAAAATAAGCACTTAAATGAACAACTAATTATGCCAAATAAACGAGCCATCGAATAAATGGGCACTTTTATTTGCGAATTGGGTCGACGAAAAGTGGAGTTCTTAATATGACACTACGCTCTGCTAGTGTAAAGACTAAGAGAAGTGCTCGTTAAATCGATTTGGTCGACCCAAGAAGGCTTCTTCCCTGTTCTCATTAGCTTCTCCTGCATATCAAATGTTTCAATGTACCATCCTTTCAGAATAACTCGCGGAACTGGTTTGGTTGACCCTGAATCTTTGATTCAGACTGATCAAATCTTGCGTCGACCAAATATCAACCTATCTTGTAAAAGCAAATATCGACCTTATATTGACCAATACTTTTTGTACCAATCAGCATTTTTGCATTTAACCAATACTATCAAACTAAAATAACCCACCCACGCGCACTTAGTAAAATTATCAACAAAAAACTTTAGTGAAACTTAGAAAAAAAAATAATTCAAATTTCATCACAAACTTGAAAACAAAGGTAAGCTTTCACAAAAAAAAAGTGAGGCAACAGTGAGCAATTACGTGTGATAGTGTTCAATATTACAAATCGACTTTTCTTCAATTGAATTTTATCGACCAATATCGACCAGTCGATAAATACATCGACCTTCTGGACAGCCCGTTTAGATTGTAAAATCCTCTCAGATTCCCAAAAATTCAACTACCTATTTTAATTCAAAAGCTATCAGTTAAACGAAAAGGCTATCAGTATCTTAGACTATCACAGTTCAGTGAAGAAGTTTTTATGGTGAATGACTGCTCCTTCCTTTGTTGAGAAGTAACAGTCGCAGTTGAAAAATTGGATGTTGTGAACTGATTTAATTGCAACCGATTTGAAGTACGTTTGGCCATCAAGGTCAAAAGGTTCGTTGATTATTTGCTTGTATGCAAACTTACATTCCTGTTCCGAAATAGAGCAAGCAACTGCGACAGTTTGATTATTTACAGATTCGAAAGTAACGAAAGTTTTGACAGGCTGAAGTTTGGAGAGGTCTAATGTACCAATTGATTTAAGAGATGACGAGGCTGCGCAACTTTTGTTTGAGTGTATAAAGAGAGAACAGGTTTTTATCTCTTCTACACTTTCATCCCATAGAGACATATACAGGATCTCTGAACTCAATTGGCAAGACACGAAAGGTGAGTAACCGTCCTGACAAGGGCCTATTTGAGCAAATGCTGTGCTCTCAAACTTCAATGTCCATCGCCGGTTCTCCACTGTAGAGCTATGGTAATAAAATGCTCCATTGTCAAAGTAGAACCCCGAAATACTCGATACGCAAACTTCCCATCGATTTAAATGTTCAACTTTCTCATTTATAGTCTTGAAAGCACTGAATCCCTTTTCATCGACTTGAAAAACAATGCCAGCGAAACAGGAGAACATTCTGAAAAACTTCATATCAACTTTTTCAACCAGCTGCGTTGTCGACTTTTGACCATTTCTGTCAAAGAGTTCGAACAAAACATGTCTGTCGATCTCTTTAGAGTGAGCAATGCATAAATGAGAATCGGATGAGGCTAACTGAACATGGCAATTTCGATACGCGACGAAAAAGCTGCTATCTTCCGGCAGATTTTGTGGTTGTACGCCGGTGATTTTACCATTTTCAACAATTGAGTCTAACACGCCAACTAATTCTTCTGTAAAATCGTCAATAACTCTTCGAAATGAATTCTTCAGATTTAGTCGAGCTCTCACAAGTAACGTGTTCGCATCGTATAAACAGCGAACTGCACTATCGTTACAATGCGATAACTCGTGTTTTGATGTGTTCAGGTAAGCGGGGTTAAATTGTTTCACTAAACGAGCATCTGAAAGACTCAATAAATCACGCATCTTACTTTGCTTGGACTCGAGGGAATCACGGATACCTTCATACATTTTCACCGTATCTTCTAACGTTTTTTCAACAGATGCTGCGACGTCACAAACTGTTTTCATTTTTTCACCTGACTCTCCAAGACTTTCATTGAAGATTTCAAGCATTTGATCATTGATATTCTGTTGACCTGATTTTGAACTTGAACTGATCTTTGCAACCTGATCTGAAAACTGTTCTGCGTTTTCCAACCTTTTCACAATCGGCTTGTATTCCTCATCAACTTCACTGATGGCTTCGTGAATGTCCCATTTAATTGCATTAGCCTTCAACTCTATAGGAATAACTTCATGCTTTTCAACGACGGCGTGCTGCTGAACACACATGGTACAAATCAGCCGATCACAATCTTCGCAGAAAGAACTGCAACATACAAAGTGTTGTTCACAAACCACCACTTTCATTTGTTTATAATCCAAAACATCGTGTTTTCTCCTAGTATGTGAAATGATGCACATTTCACACATACAAAAGTTCACGGTTGGATCAGCCGAAGAAGTGGTTTCTTCACAGGTCGAGCATTTGTATTTCAGTTTCACGTCTCTTATGGGCAGCGAGCATAAATCGCATGTTGCGACATATTTGCTGCTGCTCGAGGTGGGCTGAGCTTCTTTATCGGATTCCATAATTAAACATAGCTAGTAAACTATAAAAAATTGAAGGATCAAACTGCCAAACACATCGCAGTCGACGCAGTGGATCTAAAATCATTTTTTAAGATTTTGAAGAAGCCGACTGAATTTGATAAATGGAATGTCAATCTACAAAAAATAATCTTCCAACTAATCGTAAAACATATCCTCGATATTAAAAAATATCAGCGACAGATAATGTTTGTGCTAAACTTCATTATTGATGGACAGCGTGAACAAAATTGTTTCATGTATTAACAGATGTTGCTGAAATAAATGACCTTAACTCGGTCACTTTTAGACACTCTAAGGTAGTGCGATACATTGAGATTGATTAACAGATTTAATTCCTATTTCATAATGCACATGTTGATGAAAATTGCGATCTAATTGAAACTTTTACATTCAACTTAAAATTACAAAAACTCTGATATATAGTTTTTTTGTACGGAGTACTGATAGTTATTGGAATCTACTGCTTTTAAAATCAGACAAAATATGGACTATCTAAACATGCATTGCCAGCCACGACACCTCCGTCTTTTTTGGAGACATCTTTTGACCTCAAAAGGTGACCAGATTCTTTATTTATTATGACCTTTCCTTCTTTATCTGATAAAATAACTCCGTAAATCCCCAGTTCACTGACAACACGAGACCATGTCGTATCTTCTGACCCAAATCCTCCATAGTTGCAGCATGCCATGATATTTTGATTGGTGACTGGAAATACTCGTTCCATGAGTATGTAGGCGTTTAGTTCGTCTGAGTGTTCGAACTTGTTCAGCATGTCGACTAAGTCTTGGTCGAAGTAGTTGTTGCCTCCACCCTCTCTTTGAGGCTTCAGGACGTATTTTGACGGGTTCTGAAAATCAAACAAAACTTTCGAGCGTGACTAAATGGAAGCACCTTTCAATGAGGTTTTTGTCTCTGTGACACATATTCATCAATACATAAGTTAACAAAACCAAAGAAGGATCATCCCCTAGCTTTGCAAGAACACGACCAAAAAGCAACTCTAGAAAGTGCAATAAGAAAAACAGAAACAAGCCTCGAATTAGCAAAAACTCGACTAGGTCTAGAATTCAATCGGCGACCTACTGCAATCAAGAGATTTTGAGTCTCACGCACTATCCACTCAACCACGCAAGCTTCACAACCGACAAACAATAGTCACGAATGAAGCAAAAACATATGCTAATAAATTGCCAATTCTATTCAGCAAAAGTTGACACAAAATACAAATAGACTCAATAGTGCAAGTAATAATTTGGATTATATCAAACTGAAGGCATCCACACTAACTTTGCATGTATTAAATTGCAAAGCATAAAGCCACATATAAATTATGTTTTTCAAAAAAATGCGATATATTTTGAGTTAGGAAATTTCCGAAATCGAGTTTCCATTATTGTTGTTTGAAACAAATCACTTCTTTCGGTTCATTTGATGAATTAAAAATGCATTAACTGTGTTAACTTATTACTATTCGAATGTCAAAGCCCATGCAATGAAAAGCAGTAAGGCTGCCCCTAAAGTGGCACCAATATTTGCTTCCCTAAAACAAGGATAGCCGGTAGCTCAGCAAACAGCACAAAATGTTTGGACCACACTGATTGAAGGAAATAAATTTTATAAAAATTTTGAAAACCAAAAGAAGAAATATTTGAATGTTACTTTGTTTAAAATATTGTTATTAAATGTTTTTTTTTAAAAAAAAAGCAATTCTATAAGGCAAAAATTGCTAGAATGATTAGTATTATCGACTAAGATAACGTTAGAACTGCAGTAGAATTAATTTGGAGGTCATCCTCTAACCAAATTGTCTTTACTTTGAAAAAGTTTGAATTGTACTCCGATATATATTTTTTTGATATCGAAATCGCGACCATTTGATATGGTGCGAAACTTGTTGGATATGTAAAAAGTACTGACTAACCTTTAAGGCAGTTTTTACTGATAATTCAGTTGTAGCTTTATCGTCTGATTCCAACGGGAGAAACTGTGCAAAAGTGGATCTGATATTTTGTGCAATTTCGGCATCCTTTACAAATTTCTCCACTGAGTCTTTACACGCCAACACTTGCTGAACCTTCTTCGTGCCAGCTAGTTGATATCGAACTGAAGGACAGTTGATGGCCAAACTAAGCTCCATGTTTTCACGCACTGCCCACTCCTAAAAGTAACTTTTTACACAGAGGCGAAGCTGAGCTTCGCACCACTTGCGATACACTTATGAATAACTGTTTAAAATCAAACGGAAAAAAAAAGAAAAAACATGTCAAAAAATCGCAACTTGGAATAAAGCTCAGCCATCGATATATGGAAATTTAGCCGACAAAAATAACCAGACAGACGATATTCCGAAAAAGCAAACATCTCTATTGTAAAAAAAAGGCACTGCCGGCTTCGAACCGCTGGCCTTTGCCGTCTCAAGCTGTTGTTTCACCTCTACGCCAAATACGCCGGATGGATGATCGGAATAGAATTTCTAATAACCAAGAGGTAACAAAGACGAAAAACCTGAGCAGAAACCCCCCTTCATAACGAAACAAAAATTCTTAAAATTGTAAACTTTTAAAAAATGGTAAGTCCCTTTTACCCTCAGAGCACACGCACGCTGAATTTTTTCTCTGCCATAACGACGCAATTAGAGGCCGCTAAATCGATATTAATGAATCCGAAAAATACTAAAAGACAAAAAATGAAAAGGTGAAACTTCAACAAATCGAGCTGGTAACATTACAACTAATGTGAACAGCACAGTTCGATTCAGCCGGATTTCTAAAAAGCTAAAAGCTACTGCAGTGAAAAATGTTTAAAGCTGAAACAAACGACTCTTAGATGTGGCAACTAAGCCGACAAAACATAAGCAGACAAATAAGAAACCGAAATTTTTTTGAACCGGAATATTTACCGTTTGAAAAAACTGGTCCTGGTCAGATTTGAACCCACGACCTTTGCCTACCCAGGCGTATTTGTAACTACCAGGCTAAGTGTGCATAATACACTACAAAATTTGAATTGAACCAAGGTACCACCAGGAGTGCAACGAGTCCTGTGGACAAAGTTGTTTACAGGAAAAAAAAGTCTAGTACCAGATTGCAATTCCCAATTAAACAAAAGTACTTTTTCTCTTTATCGATGGAAATTAGAGTAAGTACGAAGAAATTGACAGCAGTCTTTTTTCACAATCAGCCTGTTGAATTTCATAAAGAGGGTTTTTTTTACATCAGAGCAGTAGCATACACAGTAGTTTTTTAACGGGAGCTTGAAAAATGCCGTCAGCTTTATCTATTATTTAGGTCAGCTGCGCTGCAGGTTGTTTTTGGCCGAAAGTCGTGGTTGTGAGCACGTTCTCGTTCAAGTGACCGAACTCTTTTTTCACAATCAATTTTTAAGCCGAGTTCGGTCACTTGAACGAGAACGTGCTCACAACCACGACTTTCGGCCAAAAACAACCTGCAGCGCAGCTGACCTAAATAATAGATAAAGCTGACGGCATTTTTCAAGCTCCCGTTAAAAAATTACTGTGCATGCTACTGCTCTGATGTAGAAAAAAACCCTCTTTATGAAAATCAACAGGCATCAACAACTTTTGGAAGTACCCATAATAGAATCATTAACATTCGATTCCCCACACGTGATTTTAATTAATTTATTCACTTGTTGGGTCTTTAGTTGCTCCGGACTGTATGCAGTTCGAAAGTAGAACACCGACACTTCTGCGCATCCACGGTGCATTAGAAATGTTCCATTCTCTTCATCCACCCAACACTCCTCTTTATTTCCCAACTGAGCTAACGTCATCCGATATACCAGCACGCCACTGTTAACACAGACAACAGCAACATTTTTGAGGGGAAACTAAGTATCAGCAATACAAAACTTCAGGGGTTCAGGGGAGTAAATAATCTCCATCCATGCAAAAAAACTAGTCGAACGGTTAAGCAAATACAAGTTTTCTGCCTATTAAATAATTCCTCATTTGTTTTCAGGAGCAATACAAAACAGGGTACAGGGTGAAGAAACTCCATCTACATAAAAAAATTAGTCAAGCAGCCACGTATTTCCAAATTTTTTGCCTGCCAACGAATTCCTCTTTTGTTTTCAGTGGGGTAGTGATAAGTCAAAAGATTCAACCTTGAAACATTCAGAGACAATTAAAAACGGTTGACATAATGACATTATTTTCAGAGGCAGACTGCTTTATTTAGGGGCGGATCTAACTATCTTTCAACGACCAGATTATCAAATCCAAAAATATGAAAACTTCGACCTTTTTTAGGTTGATCAATTTGATTTTCTGCGCTCTTGCAAAACATTATTAAGGACCATAAATAACCTGTACTGGCAGCAAACTTTTACAAGGAGGCGAAGCTGAGCTTCGCACCACTTGCGATACAATTAGATCTATCAAAATGAATGAAGATAATTGTGAAAAAAAAATGCCGAAACAATTGAATGCAAAATCACCATCGGAAAAAAATTAAGCAAGCGGTGACAAAGCCTAAAATATCTGAGCAAAAACTCTTGAAACCGATTTTTTTTTCAATTCAAAACTAACTTAAAAATTGTATGCCCCTTCCCCTCATTACACACACAGGCAAACAAAAAACTTTTTTCGCGCATCAGACGACACAAAAAAAGACTACTAGGTCGATATAAAAAAAGCCGAAACTATTATGCCCAAAAAATGAAAAAATAATGAAATTTCAACAAACCGAGTGGTAAAAATGCAACCAACATAAAAAGTGCGGAGAAAATAAAAATTGTGTTTCCCATGAAACTATCCAAAATTAGGTTAATAAGCAGATAAAAAAGAAGCCGAAATATTTTAGGCCGAATAAAGTTTTTAACCAAATCAAAAAGGGAATACGAAGTCAAAGTAAGCAGGGGTGGACCTAGGATTGTCTCGAGGGAGGGGGCGGATTTTCAAAAAATTCTTAAAATTTTGTTGACCTTTTTTTAGGTCGCCCAAATAGATTTTCTTTTCCAAGCCCTATCAGAACACTTTAGGGGCCGTATTTTGACAAAAAAGCACCGCAGGCAAATTTATGAAAGAACGGGTCAAAATTGACGTTTTAGGCATTTTTTTGAAAAGTATTGACTAAAAAATTTTAGGGTTGGTCGGCTGAAAATCGATGTCATATAAAATTATACCAAAGGGGGACCATTTGGTTGATGAGGGGGTCGAGTTCCTGAGGGAGTGAACAGGCGTCATCCCCCCCCCCGAAATACGCCCCTGAAAACAAGTAAAATTTAAAAAATCAAACACTAAAAGCACCATTCGAAACATGCGCGCAGCAAAAAAAAACGATTTCAAGATGAGGCAACTAAGTCGACAAAAGATCAGCAGATAAATAACTGGCTTTTTTTCAACTTGTATGTAATGTTTACTTAATCATAACCTCTAAGTTGAAAAAAGAGCCAATTATTTATCTGCTGATCTTTTGTCGACTTAGTTGCCTCATCTTGAAATCGTTTTTTTTTTGCTGCGCGCATGTTTCGAATGGTGCTTTTAGTGTTTGATTTTTTAAATTTTACTTGCTTTCAGGTGCTTTCTTACAAAATTTAAACTATCGGAAGCCTGACTCACAAGTATCTGACAGACTTAAAACGTTTGATACCACTACCCAAGACTCGCTTCAGCGCGAGTTAGCCAGGGTGGTTTGCAAAATTCTAACTCAATGATAGGAGGTGCAGAGAACACATCGCAGGTTTTTTGATGAAATTCCCTGTAGAAATTACCCTATATCACTACCTTATATAACAGAAATATCCCCCATATAACAGAAATATATAGCTATATATTTCTATAAAAATTCCCCTATATAACTATATAGTTATATAGGGTAATTTCTACAGAAAAATATAAGTAGTGAACAAAATTAGACAAATTATTTTGAATAATTTGACAAATAGTTGATATGGCAATCAATTCAAATGTTTCGGATCACTTCCATAAGAAATCTATTTTAGATTTGATCAAAAAACCGGCCCTGTAAGTACGAGAGACATCGTATAGTTTTTTCAAGATAATTCAACAAACTCATAGAATTAGAAAAGTTTTTTCTCTTACTGAAGTAGTAATTCCAAAAACAAGTTCTGCATTCCCCTGGTAGCAGACTATATAACTCTATAGTTACATAGTCTACTAGCAGGGTCATTTGAAATTGTTTGTTCAATTCCAATAATAAATCGGTAAGTTTAACGCATGTCAATACCAATATCTGGATTAATTTTTGGCGCAGTATTGATTGGGTGACAAGCTAATTTAGCTAATTAATATTCCACAAACAATAAACTAGATTACATTAGCTTTCCATCAAACTTTTACACCATTTTCAACCAAAACAATACAAACTCAACTGTCTCATCAGCATATGAAATCAAACTTCACGATACTTAAATCATCTGCAGCAACTTATTGAAGTAGTTTTATCAGTTTTTAAAGTTTTTTTATTTATAAGTCTGTCAAAACTTGAATGTTTTTAAGGTCTCACTGGTACTCAACCAGACACGATTTAAGAGCAATTACATTAGTATCATCCGCAAATGAAACATGTCTGATGTTTTTGCAATTTGGGGCATATCATTGATACACACCAAAAACAAGAGTGGACCCAAAACAGATCTTTGGAGCACATCTACCTTTTGAGGTGTTCAGTGGGAAGAAACATTCTTCACTTCAAAACTTTGATATCTATGTTAAAAAATAGCTTGCGAACCAATGGAGACAAACTCCCCTGAGTCCGTAAAATTCAAGCTGATCAACGATGGCTTTGTGATCCAAGGTATCGAAGGCTTTGTTACATTAACAAAAACTGCAACCCAAAATATTAATCAAACTTGCACTGAATTCTTCCTGTTTTTTTTTTTTGTAAGAACATCTATAGTAAATTCTTCTCGAGGCGAGACTGTTTACAACAGAGAAAGTTAAACTTTTGAATTAGTTCACCTTTTGATTCCATAACCTTCTCAAAAATTTTACTGCAACTACTTGAGAGAGCCATCGGAAGGTAGACAAAAAGATTTAATTGCTTCCCTCTCTATGAAATCATGAAACTTTTGAAAATTTCGCAAAAATTTTTTCATAGGTTTATGCCTTATTGAAAAGAAAGATTTACTAAGAAAGTTAGAAACGTGCCTATAACAACGGAAAATGCTTTTAGGAATAGGGCATTTAGGATAGCGATTTCAGGATAAGGCTCAGGATGAAGTTTTTAGGATAGGGCTTTAAGGTATCGGAAGACTTTGACTGTTTAGGTTTAGGGCTGTTAGAATATCCAAAACTTCAAGGGAGGAATTCGAAGAGTCCAAAACTTCGAATTCCACAACTTCGAAAAAAACCACAGAGTTTTTTTCGGTACGCCGTAAGGAAAAACTCATGAAAAGAGTTTGCTATCGCAGTTGGGTCGCTTATCAGTTTCCACCTACAACTACACTTGAAATTCCAGACGTTTCCAGGCTTTTACCGGTTATTTCATTATTTCATTTTCAAAATTAAAAACATGTCTCGAGTCACCAATGCAATAATTGAGCTTTTTGTAGTTCTTATTAACTTAATAAACATTAGCTGTGAAAGCACAGATTTATTTTTCAGAATAACTGAGTACGAGGCAATTTAAATTTTTTTTCAAGAAAAGCTTAACTTTTCAGTATTATACCTTGTTGCAAATTTAGTTCAAGGCTAACTCGGTAATGTTCAGAAAAACATTCGGTACCCCTAACGGAAACGATTGGGTTAAAAAAAATTGCGGGCAATCACATGGTTAAGCAAGAATCTCTGCCATCTGGACTCTCGTAGGCGTTTTGACTAACATTTCATTTAATGGTATTCGATTAAAATAAACTACGACAAAAATTAGCTTCATACCGTAAATTTCAAGCAGCAAGCCTAATGCCTAATTCGTTAAGGAGGGTTCTCATCTGCTCATCAAACTGAACATTTTCACCTATAAGTTTCATGACTTGTTTATCGTTTCAAGAATTTCAGAGAGGGCATTTCTGTTTCACGCACATTTGTTTTGTTGTCAACGTTATAATTAGCATCTGTTTCTATGATTCTTCTCTGATTCTTTTTAAACAAAGCCAATCGACAGTGGGAAAAAAAGTCAATGAACGCAAGTAAACGGAAAAAAAATCTCAACTTTGAAGATTCCCAGAAAAAAAAATAGACACTTTATTGATACAATCAGCCCAATTTCAGAAAACTGGACCTAAAGATAAAAAATTTGTTATTTTGCAGAGACTTCGGATAATTATATCCGCTTTCGAAAATAGAGGTCGATCACATTTTTCGTGACCTTAACAGTTTTGCTGCTCGATAATGGAGTTTGCCTCTCGTTTAACAAAAGAAAAGAACTGAACTTTTAAAAAATCAAAGTCAAACCGCGAAAAAGTAAACTTGAGCCTGAACAACATTTAACACTTTTCCTGAAAAAAAATGAAAAAAAATCATCGCGACCTACACACAGAGGCGAAGTTGCACTTTGCATACACAAGCAAAAATAAGACCAATAACGCAACTGGGAAAAACTGAATGAGTAAACTCTGAGTCTACAAAATTTCTTAAGTGACGCACACCAATTATGAGTCTACATAATTGCTATGTGACGCAGGCCAATTATGACGCATTAGCAGTAACTTTGAAAAAAACATTACCAACTAACATGCCTCAATTTATAGAGCGGACGCATTTTAACTAGTATGCGAAAAAGTTCATTAAAAACATCCGACACTGCCCAGATTTGAACCATCTTCTTTTCTCGCGGGTCTCCTTCCCTACCTTTACGCTACAGATCTACGATAACTTGAAGCTAAAGTGCTTTTTGTTATAAAATACTCTGTGTTAATATCCTTAGCATTGGCTGTACTTAATAGCTGGTTATTGATCCAAATGAACACTTTCAAAATGAACACATTTTATCGCAACAATATTTGCGTCGCAACAAAATTTGCGACTTAGGTTGGAAAAAAAAGAGAGTTCATGCTATAGCACAATCTTTGCATGTCTATTAAGACATTTGAGACTATGTCCATCGACTCTCAATAAGTTTATCACAACAATTACGATCGATTTCAGAAATAAACTTTCAGGAAGCTTCAAAAAGCTATTTTCATTCTGCTATAAACACATTCTCTCCAAACTATCAAAACAAGAAAACGGAGCTGAACGTGCTATTGATGACGGGTATTGTTGTTTATAGATTGCAACTCACCTGGTGTTTGTGATGTTATCTTTGAGCTTGATCTGATCAATATGGTTGTTCTCTGTCTCACTGACCACCATCACAATACACTTAGCAACGGCTTCACTAATATTGGCTCTATTATCTGATGAGGCTGAAGGTGAAATTGATTCGCAGTAGTAATTGTGTGCGCTGATTAGACCTTGAGTTATACCTTCGAGGCTGCTGTTAATTCTTGGCAGTGAAATAGTTTGAAGAGGTTCACTACGACTTCGCTGTACACTGCAACCGGCCAGATGACTAATGACACTTCTAAAAATTCAGCTCTCGTTTGTATAAGCGCTATTAATTATGCAAAACTTTACATGTTCCTTTCTGCTTCCAGTTTACAATTATTCAGCTGACTTCACCAAAGATATTTCATGCAAAAAAATAACATTCAAACAAAAAAGCCTGTTTTAATAAAAGCCAATCTCTAGCGTGTCTTTTAACATCTATGTATGGCTATTTTGATTAAAACTGCACTTAAGAGTTCGGGAACTTGTCAACCCAACATCAAGCTTAACCAATTGAACGAGGAATTTAGATGAATTGACACTAAATTTACCTTACTTGTGCAAGGAGGCGACTTCGGGAGCTAAGCCGAGGAAACTTGATGCTATTGTGTTCACCTCTATTTGCTTCGCCCTCCACTTATGGCCATCAGAGCCACCCACGTTTCCAATCTAGAACACGAAGTGTTAAAAATCCCTCAATAGGTTTCGTCAATCAACTTCTATCATTACTATACAATTTACCATAACCAGTGAAAAAATTGAACACGGCAAAATTTAACACAAGTTGACGCTTGACTGCATAATTGACGCTTCACTGGATAATTGACGCTACGCTGGGTTATTTACGCTTCGCTGGAACGCAGGGCTCACGCAACAGGCAATGTCAAGAGTCCCTCCATTTCGTTAAATGGTGTGAGCTATTTTTTTTCTTGCATCATGAAGAAATTTAGGGCACTTAGCAAAATTATCACTAACTAATTTTCTAACAATCCCGGACAATACTCAGTCAATGTTCGCATATATACAAAGAAATAAAAGGTCATGAATTAGACGTACAATTCGGGAACAAAAATTTGAAAAAAAGCAAAATGCTCATGGTCGTAGTTGTAGTATATATGGGATCTGGTATGGCGCCTTGTTGAGAGTAATCAGGGTTTTTATGGACCTGTTGTAAGTATGTTATTTTTTGTTCCTGAGCATAACGTAGACTCTGACGTATAAAATCCGCCAACTTGGATATGTAATGCTTACATCTTGCAAAATTGATGACTAACCAAGGAGGTTCTAGTTTTCGATAAACACAAAGATAAAAACTCTCCTGTCATCGTCTTCACTACAATACAGACAAAAGGCAGATTATTTTCGGGACTGTCGAGATGACGACCATTCGTTGAAATCATTTCGCGTGGTATCGCTGTTTTGTTCCGATATTAGGTTCTCGTTAAAGTTGCATGTGAGGGCAGTGAAATTTGAACAGCTCGATCAATGTTAACTGTCTTGGGGCTGGCTGCCATTAACTGTTTGACAACACGGTTGATTTAGTTTTCGTCATTCTTTATTCTGCACGGCCGAGGTTGAAATCGTGGCAGTGCTCGTAGTTGTATGAAACAATTTCATCAAGGGCATCATAAACCTGGTGGAATTCCTCAAAATTGGTAAAATCACTATTAGGCGAACGACCGAATAGGCGAAAAAAAAAAATCTGCCAATCAGATTTAAATATTCCAAATTTTGGAAAGGAAGCGCAAAAAATTCAGAGACAGTAAACATTTCCAGGGACTTTATAATAATATCGGCCGAATATAAAAACGCAGAAATATGCAAAATTTTCGAATTGTCACTGACCGCCGGCAAATCGGAACAAATTTTATATTTCAAGGGTTGCGGTATAAAAAAAGCGAAGTATTGCTTCGTTTAATTCCTTTTAGTTGAACGGCAATTGATTCATTTAATAATTGACTTTGGGCTTTTTATATCGGTACTTCGCCCATGAGTTCTTCGCCGATTCAGTCCTTCGCCCATGAGAATAAACTCAAACACAACTATCTATTTCAAAAATTTCAAGTCTAAATTAGCGGCAAAGCAGAGATTTAAGCGCACAATAATAATTGCCGAATGAAAGCGTTGCGGAGCAAGCGGTCGCTAATCGCCAATGCCGGGTTTGAAGTTAGCGTTCTGACTTGATAACTATGCTGAGTCTGCTAAAAGATTGATCTGCTGAAAAACTGGTCTGCTAATATCCCTAGCACCTTAAAAATATCTATTAAAGGTAAAAACCAAACTTTTATCATTGGAAGAATTCCAAGCTCTTAAAAATCAAATAAACTTTAAATTAAGCGCCCAAGTAAAAACCTACTTCTTCGAACATGTAATCTGCTCTGAACAGACCCAGCTGACACTTGTGCAGTCGCCCTTCATTCTCCAGTAGTTCTCGTTTCTTCATGATATTCATCAATTTTCCACAGAAAGGGTCTACATTCACGACCTAAGCATGTTCGATACAGAAATCACTTTCGAAACCAGAGACACCAAATGACTGAAACAGAGCAAAAAAATTGACATTTTTCAAAAACTTTTTAAAAATTTTTTAACTTTCTACCACGTTTTTGTTGGGACGACGAATGGAAAAGACGTTTAAATTACGCTTCATAAAGCAGATTTTTATATAATTAAAATCGGCTGTTAATCAGCGAGGGTTTCAGTTCTTTTTTTTCCAGCCGACATCTTGCCATAGACCTTTCCCACTCTATGCGAATAATAATAAAAAACAAAGTTAAAACAGAGGTTTGTGAAACAGATCAGGGGCGGCTCAAGGATTTTCTCGAGGCGGGGCGGATTTTCTAAAAAACTTCTTTCGAACATTTTGTCGACCTTTTTTTTAGGTCGACCAAACTGATTTTCCGAGCATCTCCCAAAACATTAAAAAGACCGTCTTAGTCAAATTTTTCGCGCCGCAAAATTTTGAAAAAACTTTGAAGGCAAAATTTTGAAAAAACAGGCCTAAACAGTCCCCCCCCCCCCTAAATCCGTCCCTGAAACAGATCCGGAAAATTTGAATACCATTTATAGCTCAGTTAAATCCAAAAGTAATACAATTTTTAAGAAGATTAATCAAAATTCAAATGGTGCTTAGTCATCATCAGTCAGCATTGCATAAAAAACGAACGTGAAATATTAAACTCAGTTTGAGCTGCATACTTAACCCATTTAAGAATCAAGTACATAGCACCTATCTTCGCACGATTATACGGCTGTTTCGAAATCAAAATCACCTATAAAAACCAACTCTGACCTTTTCCAGGCTGGTTGCTAGGAACTCGGAGTCCATTGCCACGTTATGATACAAATCATTGAAGTCAGTCTGCAGTTCTTTCAGTCTGTTAAACATGTATCGAGGCATTGGCGATGGTAGCAGTGTAGTTGGTGCTGGGTTCACTTTTTCCGGGAAAATGAAAGCTATTCCATTCGATATTTTTGATATGGCTGCAACGTTGCATAATTCGGATAAAATCTCGGACGATAAATTAGAACTATTCAGAGGCACAACTTCAAACAAAATCTCATTTTGCTCCTCTGCCATTATATTGATGACTTATAATACTTCTGTCGATGAATCTGCACAGAAATGACACCGTCAGACAGACAAAAGGCACATTTTATAACAATTTTAACTGAAACATAATGACATGGTTAATAACAACTAGTCAGCCGTGATTAAGAATATGCAAAAAAAATTACGGCAAACTATTTTCAGTTCGTAAAAGAGCATTTTGAGAACGAAAGTTGTTACGACCAAGAGGTCAACAGCATTTTCATCTTATCTTAAGCAAATTGGCAAACACAGTTTGTTCGCTTTGCAAAAAGATTGCGCTTTGATAATAAATTAGTGCCTACCTTTCCAAAGGTATTGATTACAGGTTACAATACGTTTAACTGAACGATCATAGCATAGCGCGTAAAACATAGCAAAAAAAACAGTTTGTTATGATGCCACAAAACGCAGAGAAAAAAAAAGCAACAAATAAAGAAATCCATACTTTAAAAAATCCCTATGACCTATACACAAAAACACAACACGTATTTATATAAAACATACAATTACATAGATAGCCAGTTGCTGTACAGGTAGCACACAAGTTCCGACCATAACAATAAAAAAAGTTCCTTTTTTTTCAAATTATGTCATTTTTTGTCAGTGATGTGATGAGAGTATATGAACAATAGCCAATGGCTAAGGCATATTCGATAGTCGTAGTAAATCAGGCATATTCGACATTATTTTTTGTCGAAAATGAATAGAAAAACAAACGAAAAAATTGATAGCACTTTTTTCAAATTTCAGCCATTTTTTAGAACAACTTAGAACAAATTTATATAAACAAGGCGCTAAAAAATTTTTGAAAGGTTATTTCATAGTAGATAAACGAAAACTACGTTTTCACGGCTTAAATCAAAGCTCATGCTCCGATCATAAGCCTCCTTACTCGCTTTATTCACTCAAAATCAAAAGCAAAAACATCAGACCGGTTTTTCTCGACAACACTTTTGATTTTTTTTGGATGTCATCCGACTCACGACTGATTTAATATGATATATTATCGGAGCATTCTGATGATGATTTATAGGACCTAATTTTTCGTGGAAAATACAGTTTTCAAAAAACTAAGACAAAACACCTGAAGCCCATAGTTCCTTTCAGTGGTCACAACAATAAGTCTCTCGTGAGTTACGTGAGCGTGAACCCGTTGGCTACGCTACCTCTCTTAATCGGCTGAACCAAGGTAATTGATTTTTTGAAAAAAGAGTGTAGTAGGTATTCCATAGATTGAAGAAGATTTTTGGAACAGTAAATCATAGTTTACAGCATCGTGAGCTTTTTACAGATCCTTAAAATCTAAAATTAAATATTGTCTTATTTAACAAAGACTTTTATTTCTAAAAGTCCATAATTGCATCATCTAATAATTCTTCGGACATAATTACTTTTTTCTTCCAAAGAAGCTAAAATTACTTTTTGAAATATGGTGGAAAAGCAATTATTCCATAGTAAATCATTCCGTCTCATTTTCCACCTTTCGAATCAAAGGAACAGATCAGCTCTTTGCATCAACTTGAAATGGAGATAAGACCGATGATTTTACTTGGAAATAAATCATGATGTCATACCGAAAGGTGAAGCGGAGTTTCGCAACACTTGGAATGCAAATAAAAAAACTGAAACATGAAGTTGAAAAATTCACTTGATATTTCTGAAAAATTAAGTTGAAAAAATTACTTGGATAATAACTCAGAAAGTTGAAAAAAATATTGCAACAAAAACTTCATGGCTGTATAGAAAGAAGTTCATAAACAGTCTGAAAAAGAATTAAAAATCAATCACAAGCGCCAACAAATTTTTGGTCGAAACCTGTTTTAGACGAAAACAAAACTGTTGCCATCAAAAACATCATGTTTTAAACATTTTAACGACCCATCCAATCTGAAACACATCATCGCATGCGAATATATTTGCTCTCGAAATTAAGCAATGAAAAAAAAACCAATATCAGACTTGGTAAAGTTACAAATAACTGAGCTTTCAGTAGTATTAAAAAGTGTTTCAATTGGAACAAAACACATTCTCTAGAAAATAAGCCAATAAAAAATCAATCAGTTAAAAAATAGTTTAAAAAAAAAAACAGAAATTGAACCGACTGAAACTAGGAAGAAAACTACGAACCCGAAAAATTGAAAAAATATTATGAAAAATTACTTATTGAAACGGGCTTTACCTAATTACAACTTAAACTTTGTTAGTTTTATTTCAATTCTAACAAACTGAGCGTGTCAGAAGACGAAGGAGTCCAGATATGAAATCTGTCCTGTGAACAAATTTGTTTACGGGGAAAAAAGTCTAGTACCCGCCGATTGTAATACCCTTGTTTATCGCAAGAGTAATTATCTCAGTAATCAACGCCCTTCAAACAGTGGAAAAGTGACTGATCTTTCAATTGGATCTTTTCAAATTTCGAATGCTGAGCTACGACTCACTATCAAGTTTACGGGCATTCGATCTTTCTGGCACAACGATTCCCTTTTCTTACAAACAACTTTCGAAATTGAACATTACGATTCATGTAGTTCCCATAAACAAAATTACCTCCCATACAAATTTGTTGGATACAAATTTGTCTGAAAAAACAATCCCAGTCCAAAAAAAAGTTTGCATTGATCGAAGTGACAATTAAGTCATCAGCTGATAAAAATGTTATCGAGTTTATTCTAACAGTAAACAATTTATTTTCTTCTTATTTATAGGATAGTGAAAGTTAAGTGATGCAGAAAACCTACTAGATAACAGAATCATCAAAATATTATGTTATGAAACTAAAATGGCGAATCAATTAAATCAACACAAAAAATGGACGATATTTTCAACAACTGAAAAAAAATCTTCAGTTTGATCAAATTTCAACCACTTGGCAACGGTCAATACTTTTACAATTCACTTACTATCAATTCTTATTGCCAAAAACTCTGGGCTATTAAGTGCGAAGAATACAAATATTGTTAACATCGAACGCTGTGGGATAACTCCCTTTCGTAGTGTGGCGCACAGTAAATGCAAAGGACCCGTTTGGACAAATAGATCATCGTTGAAATTTACACAACCACTTCCCTATCCTACTGACATCGGCCCTCAGCAACCGTCAAAAATTGAGCGGCAGTTTCGGATGTAAAACCGAGACGAAAAATACAATCCAGTTCTTTTTCCCTGGACATTGCAATAAGACCTGTGACAAAACAGTTCTCGAAAAACTAGCAGGCACTACGAGGGGTTGTTCCAAAGAAACACTCAATGTTACCTGAAAGACCATTGGAAAGATTTTTCTGAACTATACATCCACCAATTGAACCTCCACCTTGATTAAAACCAACTGGCAGAGTCTTGCAATAAAAAAGAACAACAGATTGAAAACAACTACAGAGCGATAGAGAAGTCCTTCCGCTTTAAATGTATATGGAAGTGCTCGCCAAACAATTTCACCTCGGGTGCTGTCACAACAGAGTCAACCATCCTACTATTGACTACAAAGGGTTCATCAGACCCACACTCGATCTTTAAGTTCAAACCAGACATGAACACTTACTTAATGACAACCAGATGAAAAACTCAAACAACTCCGTAGATTACTTCGATCACCATCAGAAAACGTAAGCGACCGTGACCGAAAACCAGACGTAAACTCCCACAACTCCGATCCGGGTAACTAGCTTTACTTGATAACTACGAACATAGATTGCACAGTAACAACCCGACGACTGCCAAATTGTTCCATAGGATCATAAACCACCTAGCATCTCCTCAACTGCCGAGTACACACTACCTCTCTCGCCATCGAGAGCTTGTGGGAGAATTTTCAAAGAACGTGCCACGCTTATCGCAACCCAGCACTATGGGAGTGCTTAAGCTGGGCATGGATTTTCTCTCGGTTCTCTGCACACCGATAACTTGGCCCCTCGAACAGGTTAAATCAACCCAAAACAAATCTGCCTCTTGAGCGCGCTACAAAGATGAGGCACCAACACCAACACGAAGACGCTTTCACAAGAAAATTTGTTTCCCCATCTGTGTCGGTTTTGCCGCAAGAGACCCTGGGCGATTTAAGTGATAGAATAGACGAGACAACACCCTGAACGGACATCAACGAAATTTTAACGTCTCTCTCTCTCTCTCCCTCAAACATAATCAACCAAAAGCTCGAAACATAGATCCGTGCAGCTACAACATCAGCAGCAGCAACAACAGAAACAAGACCGAAAAAGCGAACTCTTTTAAAAAAAACCAACCAAGTTTCAAAAAATATAAATCTCTTTGAATTTCCAGAACTTTGTATTACTGACACTTTCTTATAAAACTTAACCAAGTCGAGGAAACAAGATCAAAAGATGAATTTTTATTACCCTAGGATTCTGAAATTCCATTTTCAAACTCATTCAATTTTTGGGTAATTCACACTTTTTCGCGCCATTTGAGCTGTGGTTATTCGAGAGCGTAATTCGTGTTCCCTACATTAACTTCATCTCACTACTTCAAAGCGATGTTATAACCGTTTTCTTGCGTAAGCTTTATGAGCTAATTAATAACCTATGCATCTTTTTATCAACTGAGGAGTTGACATATTGTATCCATACTACCCTGCACTCTGCTAACATTATGACTTAGACGGCAAAGTTCAAAGTAATTTAAGCATTAAGCCCAAAGTATCTAACAAGGAGAGATCACATAAGGGCAAATCACATCAATAACTTGGAAGCTCGTGGCTTGCATGGTAATAATGGTTTAGTGAATATATCCGTACTGTAGAGTACCGAATAGCACTGAAAGGCTCAGTTGTTTATTATTGTACAGCTCTGTTGTGATGTTGGCACAACAAACTGGACAATCACTAATGCAATACTACTTTTCAATATTACTTCGGGGCCTAGTTTTCTAAATTGAAGATAATTTGTTTCAAACCATGTTTCAATTTAGATTTGAAAAGCATTAAAAATATTATCAGGTAGATTACACTGGACAAAGTATTCGCTTTCATCGCCCACGCTAGCGTAAGTAATTTTCAATAACTAATTTACAAATAAATTTCAGGTAATCGATTTCAGGAAATTTTGGGGTCATATTTTTACGACCCAATATATTCAAATATAAAAAACTATGTGAAATATCCCGAATTCAAAAAACAATTGAAATCAGCCAATCAGTTGCGAGAATTTTCAATTCTATTCTCATATGAGGAGCAGAATTGTGCCGAAGTAAAACAATGGAAACCTTAACAGATAATGCAAAAAAAAACGAAATTTGCGTTGAAAAGAAACTTATATATTTCACAGCTTGAAATGCATTCAAACAAAAGTGGCTAATTTATAGTTTTCAAATTGAGTTTTTACATAGAGGCGAAGCTGAGCTTCGCACCACTTGCGATACAACAATTATCAGATGAAAGCAAAATGACACTCAAAAAAAGCAAACAACTACAAAAGAAGTTACAATGTGATAAACGAAAAACAAATTATAAAACGAAGTATTTTTTCTTTTCATTTTCATTTATTTAAGTTTGTCAAAGTTTCTACTGGAGTTGACATTCAAAAACATGTGCCAGAGTCTTATCGAGGCCAAAAGTACTACCGGGCATTTTAAGAAAAAAATCGATGAATAAGCCGACTAAATTAAAGCCGACAGCCAATAAGCTGAAGCTCAGCCAAAAATTTTCGTCATAAAACCATATTGGAAAAATTGCATTTAAGGCCCAAAAGGATACACGATAGCTATATAAATAGCGTAAGCAAAGTGGAATACAAACTTTAGAAACGAAACCGACAGAACTCAAGCCGACAATTATCAAAATTGAAGTCTCATGAAATTGAGCATGTCAGCAGCATAGCAACATAAAAAAAGATTCAACTAATTTTGTTAAATATTTGTTAACCCGAAAAAATTGTAGATTCAGATTTGATGGCGCTTGCTAATCGCAAGCATAAACAGAGGCGAACCGAAATAAAAAAATCGAATATGTTGAAAAAACTATACCTATCAAAATGTACTCGGCTTTTTTCACTAGTTGAATCTGCTTCCATTCCTTAAATTTATAAAAACTTTATCTTAATCATTAGTAAAATCAGAAAAAATTGAAGACGATCTGGCGTAACCTAGCGTAGAGTCTAACTACTATAAACATATACAATAAGATAGCACGAAAAAAATTGCTTTCCAGATTCAGTCTGCCGTTTAGCGATCAATCATTCTCAAGTCTAGCAAGGATAACAAAACATAAATACTTTGCAAAAGTTAGCAATTAAACCCTTATTCAAGACTTTTTCTTCAAAAACTAAAAAAATTAAAACTCAAACAACAGCATCACACTAATAGTTCGGAAAGGTTAGGGTTCAACGCTGTTCAAAATTGTTATCATAACGAACTCATTTTATTATTATTGTCCCGAGTTTAATTATTGTTCCGACCACTGAAAATGGGGAAGAACTTTGTGTATTCGGTTGTTTTAGTTTTTCTTTTTTTTGCAAACTTTTGTTTTCGGAAAGGATCGAGTGATATATCATATTAAAGCCCCTTAGGTCGTGATTTGAACGATAATAAAAAAATTCAAAGATAGTCCCCAAAGTCGAGAAACCCGGTGCAGGCTTAAATTAGCTTATTTATGCTTAATTCAAGCCTTGAAAGTTTAGTTTTACTCAAGCAAAGTTAGTTTTTTTAGTTTTTAGGGCCATATAAGGAATCAAAAATTTCTTAGGCATTTATATACGATTTTTTTTTCGTTTTTCAAGTAATTTTTCTACAAAAAATGTTTTCCAAATTGCCTGTTTTACTATGACTGACGAATATGCGAATATGTCTGAGTTCTAGTTTTTCGTCCAGATCCTTTAATCACACCAAGCAGAAAGGACACTATTTTGAAAACAAATCGTATTTTTTCAGACTATGGTCGGAACATTCTGTGCTACTTGAACAGTAACTAACAATCTTGTCATTATATGGATTCATCTAGACGCACAGCTATTCAAGTCTGGTAGCCTGACTAAGCATAGTCTCTCAAGCCCATTTACGGATGGTTGTAATTATTTCCCAACAGCCCAGAACCTTTTTCCTGAAAAAAAAACCAACAAAAAATCAGCAAGACCTTTATAAAAGTCCTCGATACGTTCATTACTCTTAATAAATTGAAACTTTTTATACAACTATTGAAATCATTCATCAAAAAATCAATCCTGCGGTATGGATTCTCAAATGAACCTAGGAAAAAAACAACATTAGTGTGTATCAAAAGGCAAGACTGCTTCAAAAACGTGAAAATTTTCTTCTAAAATAAATTTTCTACACACAAGCAAAAATATGACCGATAACGCTACTGGGAAAAATTGAATGAGTAAAACTTTGAGTCAACAAAATTTCACAAGTGACGCACGCCAATTATGAGTCTACATAATTGCTATGTGACGCAAGCCAATTAAGACGCATTAGCAGTACCATTCATTTTGAAAAAAAAAGAAACTTACCAATTATCATGCCTCAATTTATAGAGCGGACGCATTTTAACTAGTATACGAAAAACTTCATTAAAAACATCCGACCCTGCCCAGGTTCGAACCCTCTTATTTTGCTGCTGGACTCCTTATCTACCTCTACGCTACAGATCCATGATGCCTTGAAGCTAAAGTGCTATTTGTAATATAATAGTCTCTGTTAATATCCTTAGCATTGGTTGTACTTAATCGCTGGATCAAAATGAACACATTTTGTCGCAACAATTGCATCGCAACAATATTTGCGACTTAGGTTGGAACAAAAATAAAGTTCATACTATAACACAAGCTATGCTTGAGTAATAAACAAGCATAAAAAATAGCATCCAGTGATTTCCAATTAGAAAATGCACATTAACTTAAATTTGATTAAAGGCGCAACTGTATGAGCCCACGCAATTTGAAAGAAAAACTCTAATTCAAATCAAGCCATGTAATTTGAAAAAATATAACTTACGCGAGCCAATACGATCTAACGCCAAGTACACACTTTGCTTGCGTCATATAATTTCTTATTTCAGAGGAAAAAGCACAGAATCTGAGTCCTCACGAAAAAACAGTTGAGTCGTTGATGAAAAATCATATCATTTCGAAAAATTTTAAATTGAGTCCAGTAATTTTTATAATACTTTTGAAGTGTTTAATTTGAATTTTCATCAATTTTTTTAAATGGACATCACCGATAACATCGCAACAAAACATTCGATGTTTTAGGTTTTAAGACTGCGTAGTTTCGATATTACAACAAATCACTGAACGATATTCATTCTTTTTTTGCTATTCGTTTACGGCTATGTGTAATATTATAGCAACTTGAATCATACAAATTGAGAAGTTAATGAGCATCATGATACCAGGCTAAACTAGCAGCCTTAAGCAGCGCGAAAAATTAAAAACCAAAAATAAAAGCGCGAATTTTTGGATATAACTTTGATAAGACAATTGCTCTCTCAAGTTTAAAAAATTTTTTCTGATAAACTATCTCCATAACAACTATTTAAAAGCCTTAATGAAAATGATGATACCCCAAAAATTTGCAAACATGAAAAAAACACCAGTGTATAAATACGCATATAATAGGATCGTCTTTACTCAGCAACTTCAAAAATATTTAAAACAAAACAGCTAGTTCATTCTATTGTATTGCGCAAAGCTTAATTTTTAAAAATAAATTAATTATCGACTTCTGTTGTTGCCACCAACTTAATTGCAGAAAAACGTCAAATTGCAAATTAACAAAACAAAATAGCTCACTGATTATCAGCACTTGCTCAACTGCAAAGGAACAAAACACCAGCGTTGCAAAATTTTCTGCTTCGGGACTTAGATTCCGTTCTACTTCGACTTCAAATTAATACCGGGGGTATTTTGAACAAAAGATGAATGATCCAATTAATACTTCAGGGAAAAAAGAATTCTGTTTTATTATATTGCTCCAAACGCGTTAAATTTCAAATCTCCTTCATTATTATTCTTTCAAACAGTATAATAGGTAATTTGAAGCTGAAATAAAGGAGTTAGCAAATATGGAGAAATATATCTGAAGATCAAGTTCAGACATATGTGAATTACAGGCTAATCATTTTCTGACATTTATATCAAAGCTGTGATATAACTTCGAAGTTTAACTAACCCTATTATATTTAATACTTTCATTTATTCGAACCAATAGCCCTATGACCCTTTTGAGGCATTGGGTTTCAAGGCGCACACGAATTCGCATACTATCGACTATACTTAGAACCGATTCTGTCTAAATAAAGATTATTATTGAAGTCTCAACTACGGCATCATATTAAAGCTCCAACATGAACAACCAAGAAGCATAAAGAAAAAATACCATCAAGTTGCAAATTATTCCTTAATCGATCTATAAACAAGAAATCCTTTTTTCACGCCCAAAATGATTCACCCGAAAATTTGCCTCAATCGCAAATTTCATTAAATTAAAGTGACGTTTTTCTCTCCACGCGTCAATTGCCTTAAAAACATACATTTGATCTTAGCTAAACATTCAATATTGTTTTGTTATCATTTTGAAATATTTCCATTGCTATTTCCAAAAAACTGATTCACACAAATGGAATCAAAATTACGCAACTCTTTCTTAACCCCCGGTCAATTCCGCCCTCGGTCCCGAACCACTTCCAGGTGGCGATCCCATCCCCCCATAGCCCATCAAAACTTCTTAAAAACGGGTCGCTATTCCAGCCACCAATCCTTATTCGATTCTTCATTCCGGATCAAAGAGTCTAATTCAGAAGAGGAAGAAGAGGGGACGGACTGTGAACAGGGTTGGCAAACAAGGTGTAAATTAAGAGAAAAAAATACATTTAATACTTAAAGTTTCAAACATTTGGAACTGTATAATACTCAACGTGATAAGGGTTACGTAGCAAAAAGTAGAAAGACATAAGGTAGAAAAAGTGATGAGCCAATCAGAATCGAGATAAGAAAACGAAGGTACGAAAAATTTTCTTTTCTCGATTCTGATTGGCTTACGACTTTTTCTACTTTATAACTGTCTCCTTTTTGACCGCACCACGTTTTCAGCCAACTTAACTTAAATGTAAAATTAAATATTTTCCAAATGTAATTGACGAAATGTTTTGATTTAAGCACTTTGTTTCGATTTAACTAAAATCTTCAAACTGTAATAAACGCTAGTTTACACTATAGATTCCCCAATCTAACAATGCCATCCCTGATTTGACCCGCAAGACTACGGAGGTTACGAGTCATTAGAATCGCACTTGGGGCTCCGACAATCTTTGGACAGACACAGTTTCACATTCAGCTATTTTGAGAAGACGCAAGAGTTCACAATCCCGAGAATCGAGCTCACTCGACCAACAAGGAAAGTCACCTCAATCAAAAACTTCGACAAATTGAATTAAAAATTACGCTATTGCAGCGACCAAATCGAAAACGTTAGATGCAAACAAAATTGTGCAGGAACCAAAATTATTAGTGAAACATTTTAACATTTATTTCCACGAATAACTGAACGATTAATATTTCCACTGATGCAATAAGTTGTCCCATTTTTCTCTCAACTCCACGCTAAAAAGGACTTGATTCTGAAATAAGACCTTTAAGACCAATATTAGCTTTCAGTCTTCAGACACGTGAACAAATATTGGTCCACTACAGTTATATTCAAAAAAGCAGTAGCCATCCCAGAATTTTCATTGCTGAAACAGCTAGCTTCACTTTAATGGTTTGGCAGCTAGCTTAATAAAATGTAAGAACTTGAACTAACAGTGTCTCTTTTTCTGGCATGTCGTAAATTTCAAAACCATCTGAACTTATTTATTAACTCACTAATTCGTCTTAACAATTTGCCATGTTTAAAATCAAAACTTCGTTCCATTCATGTATATAGAAATTTCGATTACCAAAATCGAAACTAAGACCCTTACAACATGCTATTTACGAGCTGTAATTCGATGTTCTCAATCTAGAATAAAGGTCAAAAACATCGAAACGTAGTTTCCGATAGCCTATTATTTCAAGTTATTTGACTTGGTATGAATAATAAATTCTGTTCAGGAAGCCTGAAATGGAAGCAATTCTTGATGTGCTGAGAGACAATGAGACCCCAGTGAGTGAAAAAGCGAGGAAGCTGCACTTATTCTGTGATGAAATGAGTGAAACGTGGGAGGATGGCACTCCCGTGAAACCTAGATCATACACAAATACCAGTATGTGCGACTTATCCATGTACAATGACAGAGCTTTCATACAGGTAAAACAAAAACAAGATACTTTGTTGAATTAACCCAAACTTATTTTCGAAAACTAAATCTTGCACTGTACTTAAGGGTAATGCTCAAACAAAAAATGTGACATTCAACCTGAAACTTAGGATTTCCCAGCTCTAATTTTTTTGGTTCCTATGTGTGCAATTGGCTGAGTGCCGAAATACAGGTTTGCCGAAAGCAGAGTTAAGCTATAGATACTTAGTCACTGGCGAGAAAAAACGAACACTTAATCGAATACACAGAGGCTAAGCAGAACTTCGCACCAATGCGATACAAAAATGAAGCGACTATCAGTACTTGCAGATGAAGCGACAATCCAAAAAAAAATTTCAAAAACAAAAAACGATTTCAAAATTGCAAAAAATCTAAAATCTTGGTGAGAATTACCTGCACCTTTACAAACTTTACAAACACAGGCGAAGCCAATCTCTGCTTGGTTTGTAAAACAACGCATACCCAGCATGACAAATTAACCGACAGAAATGGAGATACAAACCGTAGAAACAAATACCGAAAAAATTGATCTACCAAAAACTGTCCTACATTTGTCGTAAGTTTATCATCAATGAAAACTCTTCTCAAAAAGATAAATACAACAACTGAAGGTAAAATAAGCATCGAAATGAATTTAAAAGGCTAACAATTCTTGAGCAGACACACATTGCGCCAAAAAACAATAGTTTTATTAGAAACACTCAAAACTTTTTAAAAAATTTCCAAGTCCTATATCAAACTGTTTAGATAAAACCTTTTCAAACGACTGAAAAAGAGGCCTCTAAACCGATATATTATAAGCCGAAACCAATTAGGCCAAAAAACCGAGTGGCAAAAAAAACAACCAACTTAAAACGTGCGGAGAGGAGCGTGAAAATTGTGTTTCTCTTGAAACGACCCACAGTCAGGTCACTAAGCCGACAAAAAATCGTTTGAAACAATTTGGGCTGAATACAGTGTTTAAGGCAAACAAAAAAACGACATACGAAGCCAAAATTAACCAAGCGGTGACAAAGCCGAAAATATCTGAGTCGAAACCGATTTTTTTTTTCAATTCAAAACTAATTTAAAAATTTTATGCCCCATTTCTACATATTACACAAACCTGAAAAAAACTTTTCTCCCGCAGCAGACAAAGCAAAAAGAGGCTATTAGGTCGATATAAAACAAGCCGAAACCTATAAAGCAGAAAAAAATGAAATTATGAAATTTTAACAAACCGAGTGGTAAAAATGCAACCATTATAAAAAGTGCGGAGGGGAGCGTTAAAATTGTGTTTCTCTTGAAACGACCCAAAGTTAGGTCACTAAGCCGATAAAAAACGTCCGAAATAATTTGGGCCGAATTTGGGCCGAGTATTTAAGCGAAACAAAAAGAGAAATACGAGGTCAAGTTAAGTATTATAAAATTACGAATTTCAGGATTAAATGAAAACTAAAAACGTGCGCAGCAACAAAAAGACGGCTCCATGATGTGGCAACTAAAGCAACAAAAGATCTTGCAAATCATAGGCAACTTGCACATTTTTGACAACTTGCTGTTTTCATTTTTTTTTGCACTTGTGCTTCGGCACTATTGAGCACCCTCGTACAGCAAGTTTGGTTAACACTGTTTTGAAGTTTGGTTAACACTGTTTTAACAACGAACATAAATATCAAATCCTGGTTGCTATGCAAATAGCACAGATTATTACGACCACAATATTTCGGCAAAAAAAAACTTCTAAGACAGCAGACAGATAGTTGGAAAAATGTGATTGAACTCACGGACACCAAAAAAGTTATTCGTTCTAGAGAAAACATTTTTCAACTGTTGAGGTTAAAAAAAACTCAAAACTCTTTGCCTTTTACAAAATTAGATTGATATCTTTAAGATTGTCATTTAATTGATAAAACTAATCCAATTTAAGAAAACTAGATCCTTAGGTATACATTATTTTCTAATGGGAAATCTTAAAGTTAAATCCATAACTTTTCTTCACTTTTCATAATTTGTCTTTCATTTAGCAAACGAATTTGAAATGAGTTTTAAAATAAAAATCAAACAGCGCACGACGGAAAACGGTGTCTTTAATTAGCTCTTTTTTTCAATTTTTCTGCTATTTTCTGGCGCTTTGAGAAGGATAGGATTCAAGCAAGCTGACGTGAGACGCTGATAAAAAGCAAAAAAAAAAATCAGACCTAATCAGAAAAATTTCGCCTGAACATTCATCAATCTATTTGGTAATCAGCAAAACCTGAGTTTATCATTTGTAGCTATTTAGTTTTTTCCAAATCCTTTTTATATTAAAATAAATTATGTGAGAGTCTGGCCAAGGTCCTAAGCCTTACAATGAACACTTTTGAGCCCAAAATTCAAAATCTTAGTGCTGTTTACAAAAGAGCTCTCTGACGAGCTTCCTTTAAGAGGCCAAACAACGCCTCGAAAACAATTTTTTTTTCTCGTGGCTTAGTGAAATCCCTTTAAGTCCCTTTTAGCCATGAATATCACCAATTTACAGAGAAATTGGCAAAAACGCGAAGAAAATAAATGTTCGTTCTATTCATCGATTTAAAATCAAAAGTTGAAACTGTGTCACGTGAGTTTGTTCTACGACAATTGATTCTGGCTGACTAACACTTAAAACATGCTGAAGGCATCTCAAATTAATTTATAAGGGGCTGCAATCCCCCTAGAAAAACTTCGGAGCACGCCACTAAGCTACTACTATAGATAAATCATAAATAAAAAACAAGGAGAAACAAAAACGCAATTTTATTCTGCGAAATTTTTAACTCTGAAAATCCCAGAGTTTTAGCAATTTATTCCAGCATTGCTATTTGAACGTTATAAAATTTCTATTTGAACTGATAAAAAACCACGCATATTTTTTCATGAAGAATTTGACTCGCTATGCCGCGCCACATAAATGGTATTCCTTTTTGTAATTTTTCAAAATTTCAATTTTTGTGATTTTTTTAATCAACCAAAAAAAATTTCAACAATCGATCAGTGGAAAACGCGATTAGTGGTGCAAATCTTTTTTTAAAATATAGAAAGAGTTTTAGATGTTTTCCTGCTTAAGTTTTTATGAGCAATAGAGCCTTTAAGTGTTTTTAAAGAGCTGGAAAATCATTTGCACAAGCTAGAAAAAATTGAAAAAAAAGTTGTGGAAATTTATTCTAACTTCAACGCACTTCGATAAGTTTTCTGTATTATCCTTTCTATGAGAGCGGTTGATTTTTAGGAAACGAAGTCACCCGAGCCAGTCAAAAAAATCTCATTCGAGGGCCAACTTGACGTTCCTCCATCTCCTGGACTATTGAACAAGCTTACTGGCTTAATTCCAGCGCACCCAGCACAATCAGACCCAAAAATGGCCCAATCTCCCACAAACCAACCCGAAAAACGAAAGAGCATATTCCAAAAATTGTCAAGAGCTTCAGTTTTTGTTACCAACATTGAAAATTCGAACAGCGACTTGAACAATCGCAACTCAACTTCATCATTGGGTCTGGAAATTCCTCCAAATCCGAACTCCACTCCAAAAAAACGCAAGATTAAAAAGAAAAATAGCTCAGCGGCCAACACTCGGCAGTCTAAAAGCACACTGATTGAGTCTTATGCTGAGACGTCAAGTATGATTTCAGAGGAGGATCGGTTGTCTATGCCTCGGCAGTCAGAGCAACTTGAGGACCCCACTTTGAAAGTGCTGAGCTTGTCTTTGTTTCGGTGCAGCATGGATCAAAAAGGTTTTGAAATTTTGAATTCAAGCATCTAATACCATCAAACAGTTAAACAACCATAAACCGATGAAAAATAGGGGAAAATATCAAAATTTCGATATGTTTTGAATGGTAGCATTTGAGTTTTTGGTTAGCTTTGAAATAACGACATCTAAGATTAGAATTGTTAACTTTTTTTGTCTCGAATCAGACCTCACGATTGATGTTTTGCATAAGTAGAGCTGGGGAAAATCAATATAAGACAAGTTGTATATGGTTGTTTCGGTTGAGGTTGTTTCGGTTAGGCCAATCAAATGAATTTTAAATTTGCAGAGTGCACATACTGGGACAGTCTCTATATCATGATCAGTCTGTGCAAAATGAGGGAACTGAAAGCATGCATCAACCTCATCATCGAAACAGACACTTTCGAACACATGCGACTACTTCTCGAAAGCTACAACGAAAGCCTACCCATCAAAGCCAAATTCAGGCTCACAGATCTAGTCAAGAGTTGCATATCATTTTTCAACTATATTCTCTTCTCATGTCGAGTGCACGATTACTCCCAAATATACACTGTTAACTCAGTTCTCGAAATTGCGGAAGAGTTGATGAATGAAAACATTTACAGGAATATACGCGACGCAATTGAAGATAAGAATCAACTAGCTACACTTGCTAGTTTGAGAGAAAGTCTTCTGAAAGAGATTTCGAGTCATGCGCCATTGCTTGAAAACATGCCAGAGGGAACTAAAATAAGTGTCAGTTTCTGCCATACAGACTTAGATGATTGTTCACTGTTCATACCCATATCATGAGCTTAATTGCAGTTTGACAAAAAATTGGTTGGCCCCTATTGGATCACCCAATGTTTGTATTTCGCTTCCCCTATTAACTGAAACTCAATTTGATTTCGTCATTTCATTTTCAATAGTCGGAGCATAAAATGCAATTGAATATCAATTTCTTTATTTGAATTAGCTTTTAATGTTAACAATTGAAAAACCTTTATGAATATTCTAGCGTCTTAATGAATCAGACCGTCTAATTGAAACAATCCATTCTTCAAAAATGACAAATTGATTTGATTAGGCTTAGAGAAGAAGCGTTACTGACTAGGGGTTCTTCATTTATCTCAATTTCAGATTTTGAAAATTTTCAGTAGCATGGATTTGTGCGTGTGTCAGTGTGGGTGGGCTACCGCGACAGCCTACTAAAAGTTAAGGGGACCCTAGTAACCGGAACTTAACTTCAAAGAGAATCCTACTCTGTTGGCAAGCTCTCAACAAGTTGGCGCGTTTCTGTTTGGACCGTCCTTTTTTGCTCGTTGTTTCTTATTGCGAGTGGTCTTTTATTGCGAGTTGTCGTAATACGAATTTTAAGAGGCCTTAGTGGAAAAAAAACGACTATCGCATTTAAGATATACATGTTTGTATCCAACGATATAATGAAACGACAAAATGAACGACAGAAGAAACGTGGAAACCACATAAATCTTTTTTTTCGGCTGTTGTCCTTTTCATTTGCAGAGTAATGTACACAATAGTTGAAAAGATAAAATACGCCACGATAAAATATATAACGAAAATAAGAAAGCCTACGATATAAGTCCAAGTAAAGGAATCATTTATGAAAATCATTTTTGATGTGCGCAATATTTGCTGGCTAGCTTCAACTTCACGCGCAAAAAAAAAAGAATATAAACGCAAACTTGAAAATCAAAACATTAATACACAGGCGAAGTTGCACTTCGCATACACATGCAAAAATATTACCGATAACGCTACTTGGAAAAACTGAATGAGTAAAACTTTGAGTCTACAAAATTTCTTAATAGACGCACGCCAATTTCTAGTCTACATAATTGCTGAGTGACACAAACCAATTATGACGCATTAGCAGTAACAGCCACTTTCGAAAAAAAAACAAATTTACCAACTAACATGCCTCAATTTATAGAGCTGACGCATTTTAATTAGTATGCGAAAAATTTCATTACAAACCTCCAACCCTGCCCAGATTCGAACCCTCTTCTTTTGTCGCAGGTCTCCTTCCCTACCTCTACGCTACAGATCCATGATAGCTTGAAGCTTAAAAGTTATTTGTTATATAATACTCTGTGTTAACATCCTTAGCATTGGCTGTACCTAATAGCTCGTTATTGATCAAAATGAACACTTTCAAAATGAACACATTTCGCCGCAACATCATTTGCGTCGCAACAATATATGCGACTTAGGTTGAGAAAAATAGATAGCTCATACTATAACACAGGCTTTGCTTGTGTAAATACAGCCAATATACATTTAGGAAAGTATGTGGAAAGCTCAAGGAGACCGAAAAAATGATATTTTTCTTTAAGAAATTATTTTTATGCTTCAAAGAAAAAACATGTGACCTGAACTTCCAGAATCAAAGGTGCAACTTAATTTCGATAAAAAACTTCGTTAGAATCTCCCTTCTTGTGATTAACTGGTGATAATTCTAACTAGGACGCATAAGACTTTATCAAAGTTCTGCAAACAGAAACACAGATTGCGTGGGAAGCTGTGCCATTTTAGAAAACTACTTCAGAATAGTTTCTGATAAAAAATCAACCAAATTGACAAAAACTGGTTAAGAGTTCCGATAATCATTTATCCTACAATTTAGTCAAGTTTTTGGAGCCATTTCCGCGAAAGCAAAACCGAATTTGATCCTGAACATCTTTTTCCTGGAAAAAAAATTGAAAAAAAAAAAAACAACAACAAAGCATTAAAAAGTAACCTCACTATATTCAATGACACTCAAAAAATTTTTCAGGTGAGAAAAATTCTCATCGAAAATTACCCTTCAAATCATCTCGTTGATTAGTTCTGATCAAAAAAGCTTTATAATATTGTATATGAAAAAATTTCAAAAATGTCAGAAAAAAAATTAGCTTAAATTATTCGCACGCGATTGCTTGCGCAAATCTGGAAAACTTGGAGATATTTTCAATTAAAAAGTGAAAAATGGTTAACGCATAAAAAAGTTCGGCAGTGGTAACTAAACCGGTAAAAAATAAGCAGACAAAGAAAAGTGCGGCAATGATTTTTGAGTTATGCGGAAATTTTTTTAGTTGAAAAAAAAAAACAGGTCCTGTTCGGATTCAAACCACGGACCTTTGTCTTCGCAGGCATGTACACTACCAGTCTTCGCAGGCATGTGCACTACCTCTAGAAGTATGTGCGGATAAGTTTCCTAGTTTTGACTTTAAATTAACCGAAGTGATTTCAAAAATTGCTCAAGTAAGCCAACAGAGTTAAAGCCGACAGCCAACAGGCTGAAAGTCAAAGAAACATATTTGGCACAATTCGCTCAACTACATATATATCATTTGTGAATTCTATGTGGGCGGTATATGCAATTTTTGCCAAGGAAGTTTCATAACTCGGGTACATAATTCGGAAACTGAACCAACAGTGCTTTAGCCGACAACCATGAAGCGAAAAATTTATCAGCAACAAAACTATATAATAACTCTACAATAATACACACAATGGTTAGAATTCTTGAAAGATAATTCAAAAACAGCCGGTCAGTATTTAAATTTGAATGTTCAAGAGAATGAGCCTGTCAGAAGAATTGATTATACCACCAGAAGTACCACTGTACCGTTTGAAGTGCTAATACCCACATACAAATTATCAAGTGAATTTATAATCATAAAACGTCAAAGATTATGCTAACAAATCTTGGACAAAACTCAGAAAATCAAAAACATTGATTAAAAAATCAAAATTGATTTAGTATGCAAGAAGGAACCGAAATGTTATAAGCACCTACTGAACAGGCTTAAAACACTTCCGAGACAGAAGACCGAACGGGCGCGACGTCAATTGACACGACTTGTTAAGAAAATTTCTGCTAAGAAAATGTACCTTTTTTTTACTACGCACGAACATTGGATCTATTTTTTTGCATAACCTCTACAGAGAAGCTAAGCTTTATAAACACAAGGAAAACAAGCAATAACATTGCAAGCTAGAAGACAGGAATGAAAGCCACTTAGTTTTCGACAAAAATATTTTCGACAAAACCATAACTAAAAAACTTCAAAATGCGGTCTGGACTGGGGTTGTACTTCGGAAAACGCGTCAAGAAACACATTCGACGTCGTTAAAAAAAATTCAAAAAAATACGTAAAGTTACATTTTTATGTTTAGTGCGATCCGGCACTAATAAACAAAATAAACTATTTTTCCACCAAAACTACCTAAAATTATGTTCGTAAGCCCATAAAATATAAGCCGAAATCAATAAGGCCAAAAATTTCAGCGAAAAAAAAACAAAAAAAGGAAAATATCCGAAGTCAAGATTAGTAGCATTACAAATTCCAGGAGTAAATGAAACCGAAAAACCACTACCATGAAAACTGCATAAAGCAAAAAATTCTAAGATGGATCAATTAAGCTGGCAAATAATAAGCCGCCAATTTTTTTGAAACGGAAAACTTCCCCTTTGAAAAACAAACAGGTCCTGGTGAAATTTAACCCCGGGACTTTTGCAGTACCCGGAGTATTCTTTACCTCCAAATTAAGTGTTCCGGAGATGCTAAGAAATAGAATTCATTATGAACCAAGATACCAAGTGATTCCGTTAAACAAGCTGTTAACCCGACAAAAAAGTGTATATTCCGATTTGATAACGCTTGCTAATCGCAAGTGTAATAAAGCTGCAACATGATTCCTTCTTTGCGAAAACAAATTTTCCTTGACGTTGTTCAAGAGTAATCACAATCCATTCATTCTCTAAAACACTTTTTGATTTCAAAAAAATTTATGAGGCTCCATTGATTGCTTTCTAAAAAACTTTTCTTGAAACAGAAGGAAAGTCCATGCTGTGGAAGCTAGGACGACAAACAAAAGGCTGACATACAATGCTGCGAGTTTTCCTAGCAAAAAATTTAAAATTGCAAACTGTATTTCATCCCAGACTCGTGTCATCCCAAGTACATACATTACCTCGCCAAACAGAAACTGGTATACCTTGAATGAACTGGTAAATAAACTGATACTGATACTGCTATGCTACAGAGCTGTGAATAAAATGTCTTACTCTGGTTGCAAGCATTCAGAGCAACTGCCCCATACAAGTTAAGACAGATAACCTGGAGCTCAATTTTGTATTAACTCGATAAAAATCATGCTGGGCAAAAGAAAAAATTCTGGTCAAAAAAAAAATAAATGAAAAGAACAATCCCCATTTTTGTTAAAACAAGCAATACTTTTTTGGTACAATAGTAACCAATATAATTTGCCTATTCTGGATTTAACGACAACATGAAACACAAACATTGAGAATTGTTTCAGGTCTCAGAACTTCTACTATCGCAAAGGCTCAATTTACCACTCAGATAGTCAATTAACTCTTTTTCTCACTAAAACGTCACTTCAGATTATCGATTTCTAAATTATTTCAGTTAGTTTTGTTAACATCTCTACATTTATACTTCACAAATCGTCTCTCACTCCAAAACCAGGTCCAGTCGGCGGATTCGTAAGACTGGTTAGGCCAGTTAATGGTTCTGCTGCGTATCTTCCGTTTTGAGGACCACTCAATGGCTTCTTTCCAGCAGCCAGCTCGTCTAAAATTCTTTCCATATCTGAGCATTTAAGATCCTCGTAATAATCGTCATTAATTTGAATCATAGGCGCATTCACACAAGCTCCGAGACATTCGACAATCTCGAGGGAGAACAGTTTGTCTTTCGTCATTTGACCTGGCTTTATTCCCAGCTTCGTCTCAATGGTTGCCAAGATATCGTTCGCCCCACAGAGCTCACAAGGCGTGGTTCCACATAGCTGAAGGTGGAACTTTCCGACTGGCTCGCGCTGAAACATCGTGTAAAACGTGGCTACCTCGTATACTCGCATTTTAGGCATATCCAAAATGCGAGCAACTTCGTTCATCGCCGATATCGGCAGCCATCTATTTTGCCTTTGAGCTAGGTCCAAAATTGGGATCACAGCAGCCACTTTGTGTCCCTCAGGATAATTTGCGAGTATAGTTTGAATGCGTTTCTCATTCTCTGGTGTGAATTTAAATGGTGTATTGGGATTGTTTTCGGGCGTATCTCTGTGAACAGCTAGCTTTTCACTCAGTAAGCGACTGTTTCTGTTCACGCTGATTGAACGGGTAAACACTTTCTGTAAAAAACGCGCACTCATACTTAGCCTGAAAAAAAAATTCTAAAAATATTTTATTTATTTCTTCTGAAGGTCAAAAGTATCATAGTAACCGAGGTTACAGTCAGGAGTCCCTTCATCACGTATTTCAGTCAAAATCCTTGGAATTTTCTAGATATGGAAGTGATAATGATAAAAGAAGATGACAAGTGTTTAAGTCCTTTTCAATTAAAATCGATACGGGTTACGTTTCTTCAATAAGAGCACGCAACTCGACACGAGAAAATATAATATACAAGTGTTACAAATAAAAAATTTCGTCGAAAGTTATTTTGTCATTTATTGTTCCTAGTACAATGTTTTAAAAAACTGCCTGCTCTGGGTTCCTCAGTGCATATGCTTCGGTTCATACAAAGCTTGCTCAAAAAACTTTCTGTGCTGGGGCCGGCCGCGCCCTGAATTTCAAAAAGCTAGCGGTTGAAAAAGATATCCACCATTTACAAGATCTTTATACTTGTCAATTTTTCGCTCTTCGGCTTCAGCGGCAGCCGTACCAGGGTTACAAACAGACCCGGCATTAACCCTACAAGGAGCTACGGAGTCTACTACCGTTACATCCCACGAGAGCTGCTTACCAACAGCCCATGGAACGAGCGTCAAACCGTCTGGTCGCTTCTGATCGGTCCTGTAGAGGTGTCGTGGTTCTAAAACAGACGGAATGTGAGTAGAGGATAAACTCTGCTTTATAAGGGCATTCAGGTTTGAATGCCTAGAGAATCTCCCTGCACTTTTGAGGCAAGAAAGACCATACCAATGTAACATTCGCCCGGAAGATACATATTGACGGAAGACAAAACTAAGTCTTAAGACGACTGGCTAACGTCTAAACAGAGTTTTGCATGCTTTTCACCGTCTCTACCAAGCCAGTACTTTTCGGTGGTCTTTCTAACATCGGGTCGACAAAAACGTTACTGCTTTCGGCTTCGGTCAAAACACTCAAATTAACTAGATTACATGCAGAAGTAGTGAGCTCATGGCTGGGTCTCAGTATCCCCAGACCACGAGGTCACTCCTAAAAACAGGGCTACTACTTATTATATTACTATTGTTTTTGTTCAGTAGATAAAAATCATCATCTCCATCGAAGATGGATCAACCCTTTCCCCCAACTCCTAGCTTCTCATCCTCATCAAAATGAATCTAGATGTTAATTAAATTCAAGTCAGGACATGATAGGAAGCTAAAAGGAAGCTAAAATAACAGGATAAAAGTTTCAGTTCCTTTACCCTTCCGGATTGATGAATCCGCTGGATCAAGCTTGTTAATCCTGATTTCTTCTTAATCCGGAAGGCCGTCTTTCACCCTTCACCGTTGTTCGCAACGGCCTTGCAACTATTGTAGCGGCACAATAGTTGCAACTCGGAGTGTTCTCTGTTACTCTGTAACTCGTTGTCGTTTTCCAATCTCGATTTCGTAGTTGTTGTTAGCGCAGCTAATGTTGTTCTGTTCTTCTTTCTCGTTTTAGCCAAAATGGCCGTTTCTGACGTTTCTCAGAAATATGACGTCAAAATTCGAATTTTTGAAATTTTAAAATACCAGAATATTCCAGCCCTCACCGTTTGGCCACTCGTTCCAATAACGTTCTTAATTCTTAATAATCACCAATCCGGAAGGCTCGCTGCTAAAAATTCGAATTCTGCAGAGATTGCATTTTTCACATTCTGGTCGAATGTCACATACTCCCCGGACAGTCCGGTCAATGTCCTCATTGAATCGCGCAATGTTCGTAAAATAGATACAGTGTCATCGAACAGAATTTACAAAATGCACGAATCTACTTTTACCCACGTCACATCGACTCACTGCAGAATATAAATGGCATCATACTACATCACTACAGCCTTCAAATTCTCTCATTAATCTGCACATTGAGGATACGACCTAAGATAAAAACATATTTTCTGACTTCCAGTGTCAATGTCCCGATTAAAACTTTTTCTCTTAGATTTAAAAGGTGTTGGCTTGCAGGACAGTCCTGCCAACCAACAAGCTAAAATTATCCTACTACGCTTTTCCCTTCGGAAATCTTGCTTGTTATTGTCCTGAATACTAAAACTAAGAAACTCTGTGGTTAGAAAGAACAATGAAACAATCTCCCTCTTCGAGAGATTACTCAAGCCTTCCATGTCACCACAAAGTGATCAGTTCTCCTAGCTGGTTAAAAACAGTCATGCAGGCTGGAATATTTAAATATACTCCTTCACTTAAGCCTTTCTAAATAAATAGTAAAGAGTGTCTCTAAAGCCACTTCAACTAAAATCAAAATGCAAATTTATAAATGCAACAATTTCAAAACTCAACTAAATGTTGCAGTTTTCAATTACAACTTGGTTGCTTGGTTTCTCACTTGAGTTTTTCACACACATAAACAATTCTGAGTTTTACCTTTTCTTCATCACTCCTTTGTTTTCTTCTTTTTTCGTCGTTCAGAAGTTCTAAAACTTCTAAATTCTTCTAATTTTCGTCTCTTTTTTCATCTTGTCTTTCGGTCATTCATCAATGCTCCATATCTTCCTCCTGTGATACTGACTCTGCACTCTCAGTCTCCGTATCTAGTAACACGTCGTTAGCTATCCTGACGCTGCTGGAAGCCGTCCTCCAACACTTCTGCTCTTCTACCCTCTGTTTGCAGCAAGGTAGAGGATCCACGTTAGATTCTCTGTTCCTGCAGAAGCTATTGTGGAGACACAACGTCACGTTTCTCTCCAAAACTTCTTTCAGCATCTCTGCCTTCTCATTTCCACTACGCTCACTCGTCCTGGAAAATCTTTTCACAGCGGTGGTCACTTTATTCCGATGAGTCACGAGAGCTCGCTTGAAAGCTCCTGCCCCAATATCTAGCTGATATTCACTGTACACTCTGCCATGCTTCAACATATGCTTCTTCGCATACTCGTACAACCATGCAGTCATGTTAGCTCTGAACCATGGCATCAAGCGTTTTCTTGCCCATATCTTCTTCACTTCCATCGGAATATTTAGAATTTTGCATATTGTCTCAAAAAGATCTAAATCTTTTAGACAATCTAACTTCCGCAACTGTTCTCTCGTCGGTGCCTCCTGTCTATTATTCTCTCTCACATGAGCTTCCAGCCATCGTATCGCCATCATAACTCCCACTATCACTATTGTTACGGGCTGTGATGAATCTGGTAAACCCATGGAGAGCAGCTCTCCAGAGTCCCAGATCAACATCAGATTACTACGCTTGGGATACCACCAGGTCTGCAGCAAGCAGTGGCAAGGAAACTCGTCATGCGTCAACATGATGCTCCTCCAATTACGTTTTCCCGAAGCTTCCAGCAATGGTTCTACTTCCATCATCACTCGGTGGACTTCATCATTCTCATCTACTGCATTGTAATCTGTGACAGTTGATCCTCTCTGTTTCTGTCTCTCAAAGTCACTGAAGTTCCCACTCACATATCCCATGAACTTCTTTCCTAGTATTGACTCCAATTCTTCTTTGGTTCTCTCTGGAACTGCTGAGAACATCTTACATAGTAACTCGTAAGACTTTTCAGACATTCTCGCCAATCTCACACACTTCGGCACTGAGAAGGCTTGATCCACAATCGTTCTTGTACTCTTCACGTCCACAGCTACGAAATGTACAGGATATCTGCTCTTGCACATTGGAGCCAACGTTGAACCCACCAAATATCGTGCTCCTGATGGTCTACAATAAGTCTCGCTGTGTCTGATGTTCATTTCTGTCTCAATTGCTTCCCTCCATTTCCCTATGTATTTCTGTTCAGTCTGTAGAACTCCTGGGAATACTTCTACACTGATGGCTGTGACCACCTCATGTTTCTGTTCTAGATTCAATAGTGACTCTAAAGAACCAAACATGCTGTAGAATCCTAGTGCAGTCACTAGATTCACATCGGTTCCTCCATGGCAATCTGCTATCAGTTCCGTTTCTGTTCTAGCTTTCATCACTACATTTCCAAACAATACCGTCAATTGCTTGTGTTGTTTCTCCAGGGTCCTCACACAGTCCAGACCTTCACAAACGTGACCCTCCAGTCCACAGACTTCCGCCAGACAGCTACCAAGTTTGACCCAGTCTTCTGGTCCCCAGCCAGGCAACTCCACTTTATCTTCTCCGTTGCTCTTAGAGGCTGTTATCATCACATTATATATGATGTTGAGGTCACGCAGGTTACAGTCTGCATTCAGTTCCCTCTGTACGTCTTGTGTCTCCCGTAATATTGAGTCAGCGTTGGGACTAGGACACCATGATGGCCTCATCAATTCCCACACTGTCATCAAGCTCGTTCTCAGTAATTCATCTGAGAATCCCAACCCAAACTCCACTCTTTTGTCGGATTTTGGTACTGAAGGTGCAGTCACCTCTTCTTCCAAGACCAGTCCCAATTTGGCCTGTGGATTGTTAATGCTCTTAATCGTTACAATTCTGGACGTCCAGAATCTTAGCAACACCGCCTGCTCATAATCGAAGAAGCAATCGCGTATGTCTTCACTCAGGAAAGGATTGTACGCAATCCCTATGATCCCGGATACGTAGCCATACAATTTCTTCTTGATCGGTCCACAGTATTCACTGGATTTCGGCAATGCTCCCATAGATTCTTTAGTGATTCTCAGCTCCTTGTTTGAGAATCTCCTGATTTCGTCTATATTTTTCATGGGTTCCAACTCCTCAGGTTCTTTCATGTTCACCCTCATCGGTTTACTTTGCTGCATATCCAGCAGGGCTAGCAAGAATAAGGCTTTCGTTCGCTCATCGCCTTCCCTCAACATTTTAACACAAGTGTTTAATGCAGGTACTGAAATCTGCTCTATCAGGGTCGAATGAAACAGAGAGCGTCTCTCCGCTTCGCACACGCTACTGCTGCTCCCTCCTGGACTATCAGATCCCTCAGATTCGTCATAAGGAAAACCTTTTCCTCTTTTGATCTCTTCCTTTCTTCTGAATCATATTCTTCGCGAGTCAGTCCCATCATGCACCAGGCGAACCTGAGTTGTAACTCTGT